AAAATTATAATGTATTTTTAATTAGCTAAAAAATTGGTATATAATTTATATTATATGTAAACTGTGGAATTTAAAATTAATTTAAGCAGTTATCGAGATTAAGGTTTAAATCTAGTTCTTACCATACAAAAGTTTAATCTCTTTATAAACAAGTTTAAAGTGATATTTAGTTCCAATGAAGAGGATACCAATGGATAATTTGAGTGAAAAGTTTCCATAATTTGTGTAATAAATTTGTTATTAATAAAAGATATTTTTTTATGAGAAGAACTTATTAAATATTTTTGTAAAGCAAAGTAATGATATTTATAAGAATCAAAAATTCATATAATTTATTTTATATATCAAAAATAATGCCACAAAACAAAAAAACATTCCTTGGAGTGAGTTTCAAAAAAGCTGAAGAGTATAAGATAATATATAATGGCAAAATAAATTGGAGAACAACTTAATGAACATTTTGAAATTTAAATAATTCGAATAGCAATAAGACTAAATATTGACAAGACAGTGTATTTGAATCGGATAATTTGAAAGAGGAGAACACTTTTATAGGGAATTCCAGAATAATGATGATGAGTTTATAATAAAGGATATCTTTATTATGGATATTCTGTTATTTTAAGAAAAAATAATACAACTGAAAACGTACAGCTCATTTAGAGTATATATATATGAAACAACGTACAGCTCGTTTAGAGTATATGTGAATTAAGCGATGGAGAATAATATAAAAATTGAAGTTCTGAAGAAATTATATATTGAGCGAAAATTTATTATTTCAGTGGAATTATTTTTTATGTTTCTACTGTTATTTTGGTCAGTATGAAATATACTAATAATTACATTTCCAATATATGCAAAATTCTATATATTCCAAATATGTATATATTGTAATATATACATTTTTTGAATAATATTTGTAAGAGGTTTATCCTGAAATAATATTTAATACCTCAGATACATATACTTATATCTTATGCCACTCGTTGATTATTTCAAAACAATTTTGATTAGTTATTACGGAACGTAGTCCACTGTAAGTATTGAAAAAAACAAAATGTTAAATAGCGAACCAGAACAAACCACAGCACATGTAGAAGCAATAACAGGCTTCATGGCATACATGGTACTTTTATGATGTTTTTAAGACCGACCTTATCACAGCTAATAAACGTTAACTGATATTCATGCCCGGTTTATGGTCCTTGCTGTTTGGCATGCCTATTTAATTATCGAGCAATGCATTTTTATATAACTTAAATATACATAAAAAATCAAATAGAGATAAATAATCTATATATTATATATTTGTTTTCTCTTACATATTAAAGCTATGTAAGTTATAGTTTTAAATTTATGCTAAAATGCGAATATACTACAAATTAATAAATATTATTTTGACACATTATTATATACTTGTGATATATGTTCTAATATATATCATTAATATTATGAGTTATACATTACAATTAATCATAATGGTTTGATAATATGTTCTAAAGGTTCGATTTTTTCTGTTACAATCGTGTATATAATAGGTAAACGAATCTAACACTGTTTTGGATCTAACACTGTTTTGATATTCATTTAAAAGTATGTGCCAATTTTTATAAGATATATATATAAGATATGAGATATTATATGTATATAAGGTATTATAAGGTATATATCAAAATTTAATGCCAATTGGTTTTGAACACCAAGTCGACTGATTTCGTTGCTCATAGAAAACTGTTACTCTGGAAAACATCAACAAAATCTATGAAATTGCTTTGCATGAAAAACAAGCCTAGATTATGTTAGAATAGATTAGATTTTGAAATCTAAGATTAAGATCTAAGATAAATCCTTTTAAGATTATTGTGGCATATCCCATTATGTTCTTTGAAGATATGTTGTAATCTTTGAAAGCGAAAATTATTGTAAATTTGAAAGCAGAGCCTACTACTAAAATAATGTGCATTGTCATAAGTCGAAGATATATACTATGAATTGAATTTTTTATATACAATTTTGCAATCAAATTAATGCCTCAGAAATCTTGTTATTGGGATGGATCGGGAAACTGACAATGTTGTAAAGTCAAACCGTTCAGCGCAAGTTTGTCAGAATTCTGACTCCGGTGGTATGGTCATGTGATGAAAACATCAAAGGTCCAACGCTGTGAGGAAAAATTTTGCAGATGAAGATAGACATGTAGGTAACTATCCGAGAAAATATCATGAAAATCGACAATCGAAGACCATAGACGAAGAGACACTTAAGACAGCGCTTAAGACGGTGGAGTTACGTCACAATGCGGAGAATCGATGCGAAATAGGATGTATAGGCTACTCGAGAAAATATCTTAAAAATCGACATTCGAAAGAAGACCATAGACGAAGAGACACTTAAGACTGTGGGACTTGGAGATACGTCATCATGTGGAGAATCGATGCGAAATAGGATGTAAGAAAAATAAGGTACGCAAAGTTTTAATAGAATGAACATAATTGATATTTATATTTCTCAAGCAAAAGTGATTGCTTTATTGAAATATCTAATAACAAAATGAAACACCCTGTTTGTTTGTTTTATAAACTAAAAAACAAAAAGTGATGAATAAAAGAAAAAGTGCATTCATTATTCGTGTTCGAGTCTGTAAAACTTTTCAGACAAAATAATTGATTTCAAATATCAAAACAAAGAAAGAACGTTTAATTTTGATATGAATTTTTGTTATTAGATAAAAATCATTTGGCATTGTTTGCAGTGAAAGCAAAAATTTTAAACAAAAGAAAATATGGAAAATTTATACGTTTTTTTTTATGAGAATTTCATTTTGAGATGGTTTTTTTTTGGGAATATTGAATGGTGAGTGAAGTTCAAAGAAAAGAATTATTTGAAATTATTTAAAGTAAATAAAAAAACTAGTCAATCAAATAAATAGTCGAATAAAGTGAATTTAATTTAAATAAAAAAATTATTTTTCAAATAAGTAAAGGTCAGAATAGAAAAATTAAACACTGTTGTGACGACTATAAATAAATATAATCACAATCGTCACTTAAGTCCGAATATTCACTTTACTTATGCTTAAGTCATAAACTTCGATAACTTAAGTCATAAACTTCGATAACTTAAGTCATAAATTTCGATAACTTAAGTAATAAACTTCAATAACTTAAGTCATAAACTTCGATAACTTAAGTCATATTTAAGCAAGTACTGGGACTTAAGTTATGACTGCGTTATGTCTCAGTATTAACAAGAAATTCTTACATAGTTAAGAGACAAGCATATAGTAAGAAAATATATTTAGATACTTGTATATAAATAAAATAAATATAAATAGTCGAACAAAGTTACGTATGAATGAGAAATTAAGATAATGGTAAAATCCTAACCTCATACAAACAAATAAAAGAAGAAAATACAGAAAACGTTTTAATTAATCTGATTTATAACACAAACCTGAGTATACTGCCATTAACAACTGTCAGTAAATTATTTATGATCGATCACTAATAATAATTATCTTTATTATCTTTCAAGAAGACAGTGCCGTAGCTTCTGTGGAGGTTAGGGCTCTATGAAGTCCTGGGTACCATTCACAGAAAAGATCACTGCAAAATTTCGTTTATAATATTTTTGAGGACTACCTGGGGTGTATTTGTCATACAAAAATGTGTACGATTCAGGAGTTATTTCAGAGTATCCACTATATGGACTAAAGGAATAAATTTGATAATGAAAGGTTTGTTTTTGCATATTGTTGTTGTGAACTTTTGTTCACGTTTCAAAGATTAGCACTTTTGAAATTCGGAAAGGTGAATTTGTTACATTATTACATTTTAAGTACATTTTCATAATTAGATATCCATAATATTCGAAGCTTCACGGTTCCATAATATCATAGGCCAAAAACAAACCCCTTAATTTAAAGATAACCGAACTTTTATAATTGTGTTTAATGATCTCTTTTAAGACAGATAGAAGGATTGTAGTATTTCGGATCATGCTTCGTAATTTTCTTTAGAGGTGATTTCGTCGAGAGCGTTTTTGATAGTATAGCCTTCTGTTCTGAAACTAGCGCACATAGTGCTAGTGTTTCAATTAGAACCTTCTGTGTATGGCATAATTGATTTATTTAATTTGTAATACTCGATCTACTGGTTGAAGGGACTATAAAATATTATGCTATTCATGGATATTATGTTGTAGGAGAAACATTTAGGGTAACTGATATTTGGTACTATTTTTAAGACTAGACCATTTTGATGATTAGTTGGTACCTACATTCTTTTTTAATGATAATTGTTTGCTACTTTTGTGGTTTAAACTAATAGATTCAATAGTAATAGATTCAAAATTCTTATAAAACTTATATTTTATATAAAGATATTAAAATATATAATATTGAGAAAATTAGAGTTTGAAATAGAATCGCAATGAAGCAATGAAAAATTTATCTAAAATATATATAGCAGACATTTTAGTCTTATAGATATAATATACATAATAATTAAAACATAAAAAAAATGATCAGAAGAAATATATATTTGCTTGATTTTTTTTTTAATATTGCAAATTTAATTAATTTAATTTATATATTTATGATTAATTATTTATATAAATTTAAAATGGCTGTTAGTTATTTCCACATTCAATCAAAAGAAATATAGAATACAAGTTTTATTTAATGTTTAATTTAAGTCAATCCATTCTCAGTTGTATGATTTTAATAAAATTATATATTATATATAATATATTATTATAGAGAAAAATTTAAATTTTAAATAATGGTTTGCTTATAAGATTAATTCAGTTGTTATATATACATAAAATGGAAAAGAAAGAGACAAACATGTTAATAAAAATGTATATATTAAATTGTTATATATGAAACGCAATGTTGAACGAGATAGATAAATACACAAATAAAGATAATAAAAGATATATATATAAAACAAAAACAAACAAAGAAAAATAAAATGGCGGTCATTAAAGCCACTTACTGGTATTGATGCCGGTTTATTTACAACCACAATGTCATCGTCCATGTGCACTATTGTGATTGGTTGACTTGTGACTGGAACTTCATGTCTGCAAATACATGTGATACTCATGTAGGTAGTCCATTCTCAATTTTAATTATAGTTATATTATTATTTTTTTTTTTTTTTGTTTAAATTTATATGTATATTCAAAAAGGCAATAAACAAACATAATACATAATATAGTAATTTTTTTTTTATTTATTACTTGCACTGGGTTTGCACATAAAATTGTTTGAAGGAGACAATACATAGCAAACAAAATTTATGGGTGTAAGGATATGTGTGTAGCATAAAAATGGTTCAAAAAACAATTCAAATAAATTTACAAAAATTATGACGTCAGTCACAATTTCTTATTCTACTCTAAATTTAATTATTTTGAAACTGTAATTAGCATTACACAATTGCGATCGTACAAGAGTTTGGAATGAGTGACGTTTTTTATTTTTTTTTGTTAGGCGAGTTAAAAGTATCGAACTCGTATAAAATAATTTTTATTATAAACAACTATTTATATAAATTTATTTTATAATACACGGCTTGTTAAATTGTTGTTATATGCACTACAGTTAAAAATTGAAACTGCAATTGTTTCAAATCTATACTATATTATCATAACAGACGCATGCATAAGGTTTTTCCGGTTTAACTAAGATATGGCGCCAGAACACAGTGCTGTTTAGCGTGAGTTCCTTTCAGTTATAGCTTAAAACCACGTTGCTTTGAAAAACACAAGTTCAAGATAATGTGCCGATAGATGCCCCATTAAAAATTCCAAGGAATTTCCGCAGGCATCAATTGAAGTTATGTGTTTGGCGTAACTTACCCTCTTGGTAATGAGCGGAGCCTACTAACACCGCTGCTGATCTTTAGGTTATAGCATCTGGTATAAATACGCAGTTCCACGCCGAATAAAAGTAGAATGTAATCATTCTTTTCACGTAAGTTTGGGTATTAACCACAGACACCACGACACTGCCAACTTTAGTGCGAGTACCACACTGAGTGCATCCGACACCCGTGGTACTATATATATACCTGCAGTCGGGTGTCTCAATTGAATCTCACTAACAACCGCTCACACTTCAAACAGTGTCGGAATAGCGTCGGGATTTTAGTTGCCTCTCACGAAAGGCATGCTCTACCTCGGGAATATTCTAACCCATTACTCACAAGGAGAAAGAAATGGTGCCAGTGAAAAGTATACAGCTTATTATTTTCACACTTATAACATTTTTGTTATCTGACATTAAAATATTATTTAAAAATAGGCTATTTGTGCACCCCGACCTAAAAGATCTATTGTGCGCCTATCTGACATTAAACCACAAACATATATATGTTAACTTGAGTTCGCTAAAAACTAGCGACGTTGTCTTATCGTTAAGTGATCATGTCAAATTTTGTGTTTAAAAGTGAACATTTGCAGCACATATTGCTTATTGTATTTACTGAAAAGATAAAAGCAGTTGAAAGTCATCGATTGCTGATAGAAACATATAGTAAATATGTTCTATTGAGCATAGAATATATGAGACATAGTTTCGACGATATAAGAGTGATGATTTTAATGTAAAAGAGAGTGAGGGGTTCTGGTAAATCATACATGATGACCCAATTCAAACTCAGCATTAATTGGCAAAATCATTAAATGCTACAAAAAGCAAACAGCGGGTGTTTTCGAGCACCAGGGTAGACAAAATAAACTGAGTAAATGCGGTTTGAATGAACATCAAATGGAATACAACGCAAATACATCATTGAATTGTGATATTTGATGAAAAATGAATTGATTTTTAAAACCCGAAGCTAAAAAAATGGTGTCGTTTATCGGACGCAACCTTCAACACCAAACCCTAAACGCTTTCGCTAAAACAACCATGCTTTGTGTCTGTAGAACCAGAGTGGTATAATGTGTCATGAACTCTTGAAGTGGGGCGAAAACGTTAATGCACAACGATATCGCCAACAAATAAGTAATTTAAATCACGCATTGATTAAAATACGAACGGAATGGACCAGAAGACATGGTAAACTGATTTTGTTACACGACAAAGACCCGTCGTCTCACATATTAAAATTAGTGAACGACACCTTGAAACTACTTAGAACATTATTCAACATTCGCCATAATCCCCAGACTTGGCACGATCCGACTATTACTTTTTTATATAAATTTTAGGGAAGTTTGAAATGGATCGAGATGAATGGTTTGTAACAAAACCAGTTTTTTTGGCATGGAATTCATGTATTACCAAAGTTGTAAGCTGGTGTAGCAGTGTGTAGAAGTTAATGGTCAATATTTTGAGTGAAAAGAAATACATTTCCCTCGAAAATTATATGTTTTCTTTACAAAAAACAGGAACCGGAAGAAACTTAGGCTTAATAATAATAATAAATAGTTTCATATTTAAGAACAGTATCCATTTTAGATTATAAATTATTTCAAGATTTTTTGCCATTATAAATTTGACTTTTAAGTATTACTTAACGTAGACTTAAACATAAACCGATTTAATTATTTTTCATTTAATATAATATAGTGCACATAACAACAAAAGTATTTATAGTAATTATAATTATTTATTTATTCATTTCTACATTATTGTGATGTATTATAATATAATTGTTTGGACGATGTCTCTGATGAATGTTAAATCGGAGATGATATAAGGAAGTATGTTCAAAGTATATAAAGTAATATACACGATATACATAAATTTGATTTTTTTATAATTCATGGTGTTACTTTTGTTTGCTAAATTATTATAAATTAAATTAAAATTGTTTAGTGTTTTAATTTTAATTAATCACGTTTCTTATACTAATTATTTTTGTTATTATCAATTATTTACGTGAACCTAATATTTAAAAATAAAACTGTACTTTTGTGTTTAGAATTTAAATAAAGAATAAATCATGAAAACAATTTTATGAAGTACTCATATATATAAATTGTTATAATATATACATATGTATATAGCATAATCACGTATTAAATATTACTCTATACTTTATGTTTGCATGTAGTTTTTTTTTATTATTTATTGAAATTTTTCTACTAATTTATTTAATGTAGTTTGAAATCAAAATTAGAAAAAAAAACCTAAAAAACTAAATAAGTTTTCAAAGATTTTAGGAGATTGTCTTTGAAGTATTTTAATACTTAATACTTTCTTATATTTAAAATAGATACCATATTTATATAATTTCTTTTTTAGTTTTACATATTTGTTTTAATAAAATTTACTTTATTTTGTAGATACCGACGAAGTATAAAATTTTACAAATTACATAAATAATTTAGGCACTTCATGTAGGACGTCATAATTACACTACATCACACCAGACCATATATATTATATTAAAACAATATATCCCATAGAATTGCGCCTTACAAACCTGTATGTACAAAAAACAAAAGGCACTTACCTGTGCACAATATTGGCTAACAAGTCGTTGTGCTTCAACCTATAATCGATTGGCACCTTCTCATAATTAACGGTTAGCGTCCCGGCCCTAATGCAGCGTTCATACTCCTCAGCCGGATGTGCACGAAACTCACGTGCAAAAACGTCGAGAATTTTTTCGCCAACCCAACGTCCTTTGGTGAACGTAGTAAAAGTGAAATAATATGGGTATACTTTTCGTAGCCCTATAAAATAGAGCGGCGTTCGTTTATAAAGTAGAAGAGAAAAAAAAAGAATAGAAGAAAAAAATATTAATACATTTTGTTATTTATTATAAATTTTTATTTGTATGACATTTTTGTCGTTGTAAAAATTTTCGTGCTAAATCTGCTAATGGAAACAAGGAAAAAATAAATATTAAAATGTAAAAAAGGACGAACAAACAATCATAGTAGCCAGTAAAATATAAATAAATAATGAAACGGTTATTAATGACTATGACTTTGTACTACATTTATCAAATTTTTACTCTTTGAAGTTCTACGAATGGTCAAATATAGAAGAAAATGGAAAAGTGCTCAAAAAATGTTTCACATAATTCTTTTTTTTTGTTTTTGTAAAGAAAAACTTACTGCTTTTATTTTTTCTTTTTAAAATTAATAAAATTTTTAAAAATACGAAAGAAAAAAATTGTGGCATTAACTTTGCCGGAAATGTAACTCCCCAATTTCGTAAGAATAATAACTCACTTTATTTCATTTTTTTTTTTTGCACTGTTCAATTAATTTTTAGTTAAAATTTTTTACATCTTCAGAACACTTTTCTCCTTTTGCTGGTTCATTATTTGTCTGAGCAACAATATTTCCGAAGTATATATCGCAATCTTTCCGGTCAGCCAAATTGCTATTTAATCTTTAGTAAATAAATATCTGGCTATAATTATAACCTCAATAATTCAAGAATGTTTTTTTTGAGCGAGTTGACTACGCTTGTCACTATCCAACTTATATCTCTCCTGCGGGTAAGGGGTTAGAATATGTCCGAGGTAAAGCATGCCTGTAGTGAGAGGTGACTTAAATTTCGGCACCATTCCGACACTAGTTGGAGTGTAAATAGTACCACCCGACCGAAGGTGATCCTCCAGTACTATGAGGGTCACGGCCCCGCAGTTTCGGCTGTCCTAACCAATTGAGGTTGGCAATGGCTGTCGTGGTTTTGGTTAAACCCAAACTAACGCGGAAAGAATGATTGTATTTAACTTTCATTCAACGTGGAGTTGCGTATTCATACCTGGTGCTGTGACCCAAAGATCAGCAGAGTTAGGTTAGGCCTCGCTCCTTACCAAGAGCTAAGTTATGTCAAACACATAACTTTAATTGGTATGGGCGGAAATTTTTTGAAATTGTCAATGTTTATTGTCGCATTATCTTTACACGTGAACTTCTTGATCTGGATTCTAGATTTTGTTTAACTCATTATGGGAATCTGGACACAAAGTCAGCCCAGGTAACTGAAGGGTTAGTCGCCTTGGCTCTTTAACTTTCACATTTCGGTAATTGTGTTAAATGGGCTACTTAATGTAAATACTTAGCGTTAGCATGGCTAGATGAAGATTCTTGTTAAACTGCAAGATTAATTTGACCCAAAGACCCAAATTATATATTAGTTACTTTAAATAAAGCTGAACTTAGTCAGTTTATTGTGTTTTAGACAGAAATATAATCCTATAACGGTCCATTCTATAATCACTTCTGTCGTTTTTTTGTTTCTGCAGATAACCATCTTTGACCAGTGAGATTGATTCATTGTACTTTAATGTAAAAACGTGTCAGAATTTAATATTATCTTGGCATATAAGCAACGTTTATTTCTGGTATCACAATCAACCAATATTTATGTTCAAAGTTGGTGCATTTGGTCAAGGCCTTCATTCTAACTTGATCTAGCATAATGTTTAATCGTCAAATTAATTCAATCTATAAATCAGTGTCCATTGTGCAAAATAAAATATTCTTAATGTGTAGACAGTAATGTGTAATCCCTTATGTGTAGACAGTTTCTTTAAAACAACGTATCCATTCCAGAAAGTTTTTACCATATATCTAAACCCTCTAACCCTCTTATTTTTCTGAAATATCTTGGCACATTAAAAATGAAAACATACCTGAAAGTCTTCAAATATTAATTATAAAATAATAATTCGTTTGCTAAGCAATAAGTGTTTAAGACTAGGTTATCCAATCTTATAGTAATAGACAATTTGCCCTGAAGTGAGTAGGGGAAGTATATAATTATAAGCGATTTGTTTATAATCATATTTATACTTATAGTTATCTAACTGAATATTATTTAAGCAATTCAGATCTGCTATTATTAGATTTGAACGTGTTTCTAAATCTGTTGAAATCATGTGAACAAATATCCGAAAGGACATCTTTGTTACATATGTAGTACGCAGATTTATATAAAACAATTAATAGTGTTTTTCTAAATAACTATTATACAACTTAAAAATATTTCTTCTTTATACCTTCTAACACTTAAGCCACAACTTAGTTTATTTCCAAGAGTTTGGGTAATAGAATAAATATCTGTTATATTAATCTGTTATATTGTTATAGGTGTAGCGTGCTAGGCCTAGAGCTTTGCAACCGATATGGTTAATGGTTAATTGGGATTGCCATTTATGCAACCAGTGCTAAAGAGAACCTTTATTGATTTAAATGGATTCGAATTAAGGACAGTTGAGGTATGACAGTAGCGTCAATAGGTGTTATACGGTACACATTTTTCTAGCTTTATTAAAATTAACAGTGTGCTTTAAGTGATTTGTAAATGTCATTCTAATTCACGTTTCGTCTTCACACCAGAAAAAACGTGCTTGAATGTAGCATTTTTTTTGCTATTTACTAATAAATTTTTTTATAATGAATGAAATATTAACTTTTACAGGTAACACGTTTCGAAATACGTAGATGAGTACAGATTATAATGTTAATATATTTGTGAGAATTCAGAAGCATTTTTTCTTGTATCTTTGTAGAGCCTTCATTGTTTTCTTTTGAAGAAATTTATTTTAAATAATATGATATAAGCATTAAATAGGCTTATAACTATAAAAATTAATTGTAATATATGAGAACAATTAGGAGTAATGTAGGCAGTTTTAGCTTCGATAACAAAATAAAAAAAAACTGGGTTGATGATTAATTTTATCATCGAATATGGTTTTTAATATTTTAGCCAAAAACTCTGAAACAGAAATGAATTTTTATTATAATGTATGCCATCGCATAACACACAAGAGTATAATTGGAAAAACACTTCACGCAAAGAGACTAGACAACAGATTTCTCTCGAATTTCGCGTGCTTATAGGTATAGTACAGTGATATCCATTGACAGAGAAAAAAATTCTAGCGATATTTGTATGGACATTTTTTAAATTATAAATTTTGGATATAGAAAATTTTTTTATATAGAATATTTGTACGCACAAAAATATATATTTTTAAGTATATACATTGTTTAGTTTTTTTGTATATGAACGTACATATTAATATATATTTATTTTGTCAACATACATGTAATAGTTATATCTATATCATAATATTTTGGAAAGTTGATAATTCCTTTAAAGTTTATTATTTTGATTATATATATGTAAACATTTATCTACATGGGAACATAAAAGCATAATACATGTGAAAGTTTATATTAAACAGTATATATGCTCCTCTATGTTGTTTTTTTTTTATAATTTATAAGGGCTTTCAACTTCAAAGATCACTTACTACTGTTATGGGGAAATTTTGGTGCCGACCATTTCAAAAAATAAATATTCTCACTATTGGACAATTATTGTTCTGATTTATTTTTTTTGACTACCCTTCTGATTTTTTTAACTACCCAATTATATTCAAACTAAAAATTATGCTGATAAATAAGGAAAAAAAACTGATAATAGATATAAATAAAAGAAAGACTTTAAATAAAAAAAATGTTATACAAAAAAAAGAATTTTACCATTTTCAATATAATAAGATGTCTCGTGATAACGTTCATCCGTGAAGCCTGGTCGTTTGGCTTTTAACGCCTTCGTCTCTAGTTTTGCCTGCAAAGAGAAGACGCAGACATTGAAAGTTCTTTGTTTTAAATCAAACGGAAAGCATATTATACTAAAATTGATTTAAAAAATTTCCTTTCCTCATAAAGGTCCAACTACTTTTATGTATATTGAATTCTCTTTGTTTATTGATAGAACTGAAAATGTATCGAAATATGTAAGTCGATATATTAGAAGACTAATTTTAACTCGGATGGACAAAAGTAAACAAAATATATATACAATATATATATATACATATATATATACATATAAAACTTATGCGGATCGGCTGTTTCACCCTTGTAGTTAATGACCTTTAATTCTTTTCTATTTGTATTTCTTTCACTTCCTATTTATACAGTAAAAATAAAAGTTAAAAATAAATTATTTATTTCCAATAATATGAGTACATATTTAATTATCGTGATTTTTAAAATTTTTAATTTTTCATAACCAATTAATTAATTAAAAAATTGATAAGAAACTCATATTTTGAGAAGAGTTTAAAACGAATTGATATTCTATACATAAATTGAATTTTTAACAAATATTGATGTATAGTAAGTGCATCCACCAATGAAACATTTTATTTCTAAGCTAGAGATTTGTGTCTTGCTCTTCTTACAAAGCGTGAAGTACGCAGTCAAAAAAGAGACACATTGAGAAATTATTGTCTCAAGCTACAATATATGTTCATTTGGTAAATAATAGATTCGGTATATATCAATTCGTTGTTATATATATGAATTATTAATATTTCTTAAGGAATTGCCTACCTTTTTCAAATCCTTAATTTGATCGGAATCCTCGGCTTTTCGCTTTTCAGGATTTGCTCTTAACTTGTCTTTTTCAGATGGTGACATCAACTGTAAATAAACATTCATAATATTTTCAATACTGTCTACAACTTACATAAAATATGATTAATTAATATATACAATTTAATTAAGCGTATTACAGAATTAATACCAATAACACAAGATAATACTTATATCGTTAGTAATTAACTAAATATATAGAAATATATATATATTAGGTGTAGTAAAAAGAAATCCATTATTTTTCAAATAGTTGCCTTTAGTTATCTGTATCCCGCATTGTATTCCGCCCAATCGGGTTACGTTAAATCGCGTTATACTCCCTATAGTCCAGACCTGGATCTTTTGTACCATCTGTTCGTATTCATAGTGAACGATGGACGATTTTTCTGATGAAAAATTAGCTTTAAAAGAGGCTTGTGAAAATCGACTGTCTCCATTTTTTGCCAATAGGGACGAGGACTTCTATGAACGAAGATATAATGAAATCATCTTCAAAATAGCAACAAATTATTAAAAAAATGGCGCAAATTTGACCTAAATGAGATCATTCTAACTATGGTAAATGTATAGCTCAGCCTTGATTTAGGCTAGGAGGGGGTCACTGGGTCAAGAACTACTCACTCCTTCTGAAATTAGGATGTTCTCAACGGCTAATATTGTGGCTTTAATTCGAAAGGCGGAATGTCTTCTGTTCGGTTAGGGTCTGTTGTAACACAAAAGATCAACTATGGTCACAGTGTTCCGCTTAGTTGGGAGCTTGTACCCTGTTTATTTCTATTCTATTCAAACTTTGGTAAATAAGCTTTCAATTTCATGCAAAAATATTTGATTTCATTTTACTATACCTATTTTTATATAAAGACACATTTAAGGTCCACCTAATACTATTCAGTCAAAAATAAAATAAAACAGATTAAACAAAACAGATATTTTTTATATATTTGTTTTGTTTTATTATTTGAAGGGATAATGGTATATGAAAATCTATTGTGTTCTTTCTGATAAGTGTATTCTAAACTAATCCGAAGAAAGTAAGGTTTTTGACAACCTTAAAAGTATTTATACGTCATTCCATTTCCTCTAATTGCCATTTTTACTCTTCACATTTTACTACTTTTCTCTGCCAAGTATTTAACGCTTCATTTAAAAAGAAATCTTCAGGTGTCAGAGTAATTATATAGTGATGTGCAAAAACATTGTTAATTAAACTCTCCAGGCAAGCTAATTTAATGTAGAAATTTAGACACTTCAGTGAGGTTTTTTTAATTCCCTTTGGGTTGTTTTCTTATACTTTACTTGACTTTCGAAAGAATTGTTTTTCTTGGCATTAAAACATTGTGTGTTGCCTCTTCGTTCTTTAATATGCATTTGACTTAGAACCAGTGGAACATTAAGAGGGTCGTTTAGTATACGAATCAATGAATCCTTTCCTTTCAACACATTCGTTTACTTAGGCGCACTTAACCCTCATCCAAACTATTCTGCACTTCGTTTTTCATGCATTTATGATTATTTGTCATTTTGAAAAATATTTGAAAAATTCCTTTAAAGGAAAACCAAAGGAAAACCAAAGGAAAAACTGTGCTGCTGTTTGCTTTTCATTTGGTTCATTTCGTAAAAAGGCATAGAATTATCGTCACTTGCCTAAAAGCAAGAAGCAAAAAGCAAAAAAAAAAAAAAAAAAAAAAAAAAAACAAATACCGACGAAAAAAAAAGTAATAGCGGCATTGGGGCAATCAGGCAACTATGGGTAATTTTTTTTAACCCGTTGGGTATATTCCTCTAAATGCTTCCACATTTCGCTCGACTGCTTGCTGCTGTTGGCCTTTTTTTTTTTTCTTTTTTTTTTTGCATTCATCTATGTATTTCATTGTTGTGGGTTTTTTGGTTTCTCACAGAGGTGGGTGTATGGTACAAAAAAAAAAAAAAAATTAAGAAAAAAAAAACTGAAAGTATAAGAAAAGTACAGTACAAAAAAAGTGCACAATAAAAGCGCCGGGTAATCAAAAAATAAAAAATGAAAAAACCAATAATTGTGGCAACTTAAACGGCTATAGGAAAAATATGGAGGCACTTTTATGTGAAGTTAATTTCGTAACTTTTTAATAGCAGTTTTATTTTATTATATTTTATTTGTTATTTCTTGTTTTCAGTTGCCAGTTGCGAGTTGCGAGTTGCGAGTTGAGAGTTGGGAGCTTCGAGTTATATTTTATATTTATTAGAAAAACTGCACATGGGGTGGTTTAACTCTTATGCTCGAAGTGGCTTAATTTTCAAAACAAATAAAAATCTGCTAAAAAGCATTTGCTTACTTTAGCAAAAATATATATTTTGAACAAATGCAAATTTTGCAAAAAAAAAAAAAAAAAAAAAAAAAAAAAAAAAAAAAAAAAAAAAAAACTAAAACAATAAAAACAGCAAAAAAGGGAATATAAGAGAAAATTATTATTAATAAAAAAAAAAAAATTGTTGAAATGAATTGAATTTAAAATATTTCTTAGATGTAGAATAAACATAATTGCTGGGTATTTTGTTGGCATTGCGGTTTCGAAATACTTTGTCTGCGTACTTTTCAAACCTCTTAACTGGATAGGCTATTACTTCCCCCAGTTGAAAATAACTTTCCAAGTGTGCCTATGATTGCCTACGCTTATGATGTACAACGTTTTCATTAGAACGTTAAAACCAGCACATGTTTTCCACCAAACAAAGTGTAAAAACAAAAATAAAATAAAGAAAAACAAAAAAAAAAAAAGAGAAAATTATATAAAATAAAATTTTATATAAAATCTACAATGCGAAAATTGTAGTAAAAAAAAACTAGGCACAAACTTTTATGCTGTATACGCAAAAGTTTCCTTTATACTCACTCATAAGTATTTATTTATATGCAGTAACGTTTCATTAAATGACAGCCTGGTAGCAGATAAACGAGCTCATAGCTCATGGCTCACGGCTCACAGCTCACAGCTCATGGCTCATGGCTTATGGCTTACATTACTTATAAAGGCATTCCATATTTATGTGGTGTTTGTGGCTATGACGTCAGACGTTTTATATAGCCCAATTTCTCATATATGTAACATATATAATGAATTTTATTTATATATGAAAAATGCATTACAAACCTCTTACTCAAAATTCGTAGAGAATTTAAAATTTTATTATTCTAACAAAGGATAAAAACAAAAAAAAAAAAAAAAAAAAAAAAAAAAAAAAAAAAAAAAAAAAAAAAAAAAAAAATAATAGTAATAAAAAATAAACAACAACAAAAAAAACAATAAAGGAAAGCACTTTGTGGTTGCAACATGCAAATTTGTCATTTGTAATTTTTTTTCATTGCAGAATCAAAGGCATAAAAAGTTTATGGCTAATAATCTATACCGCATGGTAAACAAACTTAATGATGTTATTATGAAAAGCAACTTTTAAAAGCATATCAAATAAGTTTTTGCTATATTTTGATAAATAACATAATAAAATTATTACTCATACGCTGTGTGTCCCTACAATATTAGTTCATAAATGAAAACCTCAAGAACAATGTGGATGTGCACTTAATTCGATATGTCTTCATATACAGAAATATTAATTTCTAATTATGTTTACAAGTATATGAGCAAAATAGAGCTCGAGACTGTACTTTAAAATACACAAACTTAATAATAATGCTATACATACTATGTAAGTATGTTTTTTTCGGCTTTTTTTTCTTGTTAGAGAACACAAGTAATTTTCCAGAGAAATTCTTTTTTATTATTCAATTATTTTATTTAATATATTGACCATCGACTTCCACATATCTCACATACATTTCCGATAATTACTAAATTCCTCGAAATTACTAAAGTGCTACTCTAAAAGAGTGTGCCCTATTGATGTGAAGAGTGGATAGTTAGTTGACGCTAAGTTAATGTCCAATATAAGCGATCTTAACACGTCTTTCACTTGCCTTTTAGTTTGCGATATAATCGATCTTAAGGTGTCTTTCACTTGATGATGTCGCCAGGTCGGAGTTCAATATAAGCGATGTTAAAGTGTCTTTCGCTTGTCTTTCAGTTTGCGATATAAGGTGGATCTTAAGGTGGGTTTCACTTGTCTTTCACTCTTTCAGATCGTATTTTAAACAATACATAAGTTCATATTTTATATATATATATATTTAATCCTATATCTGGTTCCACATGGGTCAGGTGCTCGCAGCTTCGGCTCTCCTGACCAACTAAGATTGGTAGTGTAGTGGTGACCATGGTGATTATGAGAAAAATGACTTGCGTACAACATAGGTATTGGTAGCGGAAGTTACGTCAAATACATAACATTAATTGATACTGGTGGAAATTTCTGAGAATTTTTTAAAAATAACACATATCGGTACATTATCTTGCACGTGTGTTTTTCTTTGAGCACTGTGGTCTTAAGCCATAACTGACAAGTACCCATGTTAAACAACTCAGTGTTCTCGCGCCATCTCTTATTTAAATCGGCAAAAAACTTATGCGTATACCTAGTATTTAAAAAATCGCTTATTTCCAACCGTACTTATGACGATAAAAGAAAATCAAACAAAATTATGGATGAGATGAAAACTAAACGTCAAGGTGTAGAATGAAAGCCATCAGAAGGTACTACGTTCTAGAAAGAGTGAAAGTAAGATATTTTGCTGACCGTTTTTGGCGGTTCACAGTGTATGTTTCATAGTGGAATAGAATTCTTACAATAGGTGTATTTTATTATTAATTCAGGAGTTCAAAATTAGTCTCTATGAAGACTATTAAAAATATAATAATAATAATAATAATAATAATATTAAAAATATTTATTATTTTTACTTATTTCAGGCTAATCAGTGCAGTAAAAATTTGCTGACCAGAGAGAGTTCTTTCATTCCTATTGGCATGTAATCCAATTATACCGTATGAATACTCATAATTGTGGGAATGGAATACAAAATGTAGAATTTATTGTGAAAATCCTTTAGAAAAAAAGGAAATTCATTTTAATTTAAATCAAAACTGTGTAAATCTATATAAAGGACTCAAAAGGTTACATTCTATATTTCA